CCAGATCCTATTAGTCCATTGATGTTCATCTGGTTTACCCCTCGTTCCTCAAATCTAAAGCTTACTGAGTTTTTTTTTTTTTTTTTTCCACAACAGCCACACCAGCAAACCATTTCATCTGTATTAGTGTCCATTTTGGAGGTTGCACAAACAACAGTACACTTTTATCAGTAAAGTTCCCAGTGTGAGGTATAAACAAAGACAAACCATTGGCGTTCAACAAAAGAGATAAGTACAATGTTCCAGCCCCACTTTGACAGCACCAGAACCCTGGGAAGGCTGTAACCCTTGGAGCCTAGCTGGAGGAAGCCAGGAGGTAAACACAGCACTTAAAGAAAAAAAAAATACAAGTGGGCTGAAAGCACCATTCAGCTCAATTTTCATTCAGTGACAAAAGGATGTGATAAACAGGAGTGGAAACACAAAATCTGGGCTCTTGCTAAGTATAAATATGCTGTCTTTATTATGAGCAAAAACAACATGTTGATCGATTTATTTATTTCTCAGTTTTTACAAGATTTAACTTGGCTTAAAAAGACTGGACTGAAAGATGACGCTGAACTTGAACAAACTTCTAAACCTCACTAGTGTGAAAATCAAGTAAGATGCTCGAACTAAAATGTTAATCCTGCAAACAGCAACTGAAAACAAGAGTTAACACGTTACAAACATCCAAAACAATAAAGATAACTGAACACATTCAGAAACCTTCCACTTGCAATGCTCCAACAAGGCCTTTTGTCCAACAGGCCAGCTCTCTGACATAAAACTAGGTCTAAAAAACTCATTGATAAATAATTTTCAAACTTGTCTATTTTTATTTGTGAAGCAAAGTAAATCATATGGCTACATGGGGGGGGGGGGGGCAGCTGCCAAGGAGGGCACAAAAACAGGTGTGATGAGGGCAACAAAAGAATGAGCACAGCTTAAAACGTTAGTTCTTTCGGCTGCTCCTTTCTGCACAATGTGCCACAACGAGTGAACTCACATGAAAGATTTAGCAATTGTTTTACCCTTTGTGTAGCAATCTGAGCTCAAAAGGGAAACCTCAGAGTTACAAGGCCATGGCACTAAACCATTGAACTGCCTTTTAAAACTGTGTACACAAAAATAAACTTTTGTTTTCAGAAACTGGTTGAGCAAAACCTGTCCCCATAACTCGCTTGCTTCCAAACAGACTGCAACAACAAAAACTGTTTTCTCTTACTTTTGAGTCACCAACTAGCATCAGCTGATGGATCACGTAAAGTGAGAACTGCTCCAAACAGAAACCTAATTCCCATGATTATTAGGTCACCAGAAAAATATGACTATTATAAATTTACATGAGACTCGTGAATATGTGTTTCAAAATAGTTTAATCATTCAAGAATTCATCTTATTTCTTTATTTTTGATTAAATGTCCTCCACAAGGTGGTGCTTTTGCACCCACAGCACTCCCATTTCCCACAGCTTTGCCAACTAGTCTCTGTTCATTTGATCACATTACCTCTTGTGAAATCAAATGTCTGCACCTTTAATAAGTAAAAAAAAAAATTATATGGCTGAGTAACTCATTGTTCTTCTAGTGCTAGCGTCCTAGCTGTCCCAATTTCAAAGTTAATCTTCTCTCCATAAAGAAAGAACATCATAATGTTCAAATAATGTATATTAATTGGCTAAACACAAGGTAGCATTACTATGAAGATTAATTAGTCTCGGTATTAATCACACAAGCACACAAAAAGATTCACAAATGCATAAACAGTTTTCCAAATGTACACATTTCAATTTGCACAAGTAGGAATTTTCTGCACGTGCAAACTGTCAAATACATGTGCACAAATCCTCTGCTGTGCATGGATCAGCTTGTCTGTGACTTTAGAAACTCTCTTACTGTTCCAGCTGCTTTCAAAGCTGGGACATATGAGCCTTATCAGAGTTACTGAGTTGTTGAAAAAGGACACATTTGTAACTTGGTTCAGTAGCTCAGAACCTCTACTGTGTATTAAAACACATGCTTGATGTTACTGGATTCAAAAAATGTATCCATCCATCCATTACCTTTGCTTGCTTCTTCCTTTTCAGGCCGTGGGAGTCACTGGTGACCATGTCCAGCCATCACTGTGTAAGGGGCGGGGTACACCCTGGACAGGTCTCCAGTCCATCACAGGGCCACATAGAGACAAACAACCATTCACTCTCTCACTCACACCTAGAGACAATTTAGAGTTACCAATCAGTCTAACATGCATGTTTTTGGTCTGTGGGAGGAAACCGGAGGAAACCCACAGATGCATGGAGAGAACATGCAAACTCCACCCAGAAAGGCCCCTGGCCGGGATTTGAACCAGGTCAACCTGCCCGCTGAGTAATCTTGTGGAAATAAACGACCTAAAATGAGTAGGTTATTCAGCATGTGAGAAATCTACCAGAAAAATATATTAATTACCAGAAAATTATTTTTCATGTAGCACGGTGGCTCAGTTGGTAGAGCTGTCACCTTTCAGCCTGAAGGTTGTTGGATCAAATCCTGGCTAGGAGTCTTTCTGTGTGGAGTTTGCATGTTGTCTATGAAAATCTATGCTTTATTGCGAAGAGGAAGATGCGATAACTGCAGACCCAGCAATTCAGTAGAGCTGAAGGTCACTATCAGAGCAACCTGGGCTCTCAGAACACCTGAGCAGTGACACAGACTGATCGATCCATGCCACGCTGCACTGATGCAGTAATCCAGGCAAAAGGAGCCCCAACTAAGTATTGAGTGCTGCACATACTCATACTTTTCATGTTCACACTTTTCAGTTGGCCAACATTTCTTATAATCCAATTTTTAAAATTGATCTTAAGTAATATTCTAATTTTCTGAGATACTGAATTTGTGGTTTTCATTAGTTGTCGGTTATAATCATCAACATTAAAATAAATAAACATTTGAAATATATCAGTCTGTGTGTAATGAATGAATATAATATACAAGTTTCACTGTTTGAATGGAATTACTGAAATAAATAAACTTTTTCATGATATTCTAATTTGATGACGAGCACCTGCACATGAGCACCAGCGACCCCCACGACCCAGAATGGAAGAAGCGAGAAAAGGTCGAAGCACATTTCCTACCAGAATATTGTTTTTGAGAAAGAAACAATGTATAAGTTTGAAAAACAACAAATAACTGGTCCTTGTTTGGCTAGCTATTAGCCTTGCGTGGACAAAGACTTCTGCTGTTTCCTTCATGCTGCATGCTTGCTGACTGATCAGCTAATATTGATAGCATTAACCAGAATGTTGCTTCAAAAATGCCAAAATCACAAGTATATCAATTTTAAGTTGGAACATGCCACAGAGTAAGTCTAAAATGTACAAATATTGCATCAAAATGTGTTTTTTTTATTGAAATTCAGAGGTGCTGTCACATTCTGTACATACACACTGACCCCTGTGACCCAGAAAGGAAAAAGCGAGAAAAGATGAATGGAATGGATGAATCACAATAACCATCCTATGATAATTGTTGTCTAACTCTGGTTTTATATTTCATGTTAAAATTTTCACAAAATACCAACAAGAACATTTTACAAAATAGTTGAGCCATTCCTTGAACTCTTGATTAGAAAATAAAACCACATAATCGTAAACAATTAAAAAGATTATAACTGTGCGGTGATTTTAATGAAGAGGTTGTTTCCTAGAAAAAAAAAAAAAAGAATTCTTCATAAGGGAAATAAAACCTCCATATTGGAATCTTTAAAAAGCAGAGCTGCAGCGTGATTTTTTTTGAGCACCAATTTTTTGAGGCAGTATGAACGTTCATGTAAATGGTAAATGAACTGTACTTGTATAGCACCTTTCTATCATCAATATATTCAAAGCTCTTTACAACACAATCTGTGCCTCATTTACACATTCATACTCTACTAGATCTATACAAAGATTAATCAATGCTTTAGATCACATTCATACACCGATGGGACACACATCAGAGGCAATGAGGGGTTCAGTGTCTTGCCGAGGGACACTTCAGCATGTGACTGCTGGTGGAATTGAACCCCCAACTCTTGCATTGGAGGATGATTGCTTTAACCACTCAGCCACCCCACAAATGTGAGGCCTCACATTTAAATATGAGGAACAGAGACACCCATGCAGCGTAGGAGAAAAGAGTCATTGTTTTTTTTTTTGTCTTAAAGTAGCACCATTTACAAAAGACAAATCCTTAAAGTGTATGAGGAGGTTAGGATCATCTGACAGAAAGATCTGTGGAGAAAATGTTGCTCTGTTTTGAATTGTACAGTTATCGTACAGTATACGGTCTCTCCACTGTATTTTAGCTGTGAATTGGTAAAGTTTTTACTTAAAAAGGTAGAATAAAGCCACATGTAGGGGGCCGAGATGGTGTAGAGGCAGGGCAGCCGGCTTGGGACCCGAAAGTCCCAGGTTCGATCCCCAGTCACTGCACATCACGTGGCGTCTCTGGGCAGCACGTCTCATCCCCAAAATGTCCCCCGGGCGCTTTCAATAGCTGCCCACTGCACCACCTGGTGGTGGATGGGTTAAATGCAGAGACTAATTTCGCCATTGTATGGAAACATACAGTGCTGACATTGTGATGACATTATTATTATTATTATGTCAGATGGGCAGTTGTACTGTAAGAAATGTCCCAAAGACAGGAGATAAGTGTGCTCTCTTCTGCTTTTTTATCTTCTGGGAAGATCTTCTTTCTCATGTGTCCAGCTCTTTTGGATTTATAGTGAGCACATACAGACAAAGACTACCAATGTTATCACTAATTATTATTATAATAATAAATATAACATTGTTAAAGAGTAATCTTCTGAGTTCCACTTCATAGAAGTGAAAATAAAAAACAAAAACTTGAAGTTTGTGCCAGCACCATGGGATGAGCAGTGGTTATGTTTCCACCATAATGAAGGGCAAGATGATCCAGTCCATAAACAGGAAGTCTCTTTTTTTATTCATTCAAGCAGCCTGCCTCAGTTCTTATTCTCACCCCCTCAGTGCCTTTTGGATTCATCTTGTGATTGTCTTGCTCACAGCCCCTGGCAGGTCTTGCAGCACATCTGTCTGAAGTACGCTCGGCTACAGAACTTGAACTTCAACACCAGCGGGCAGTAAGCCACCTTGTTTACATCTTTGCATTCTGTGGAAATGAGGAACAAAGTTTGGTTACGCAGGGATGATTTCTAGGAAAACCTTTGTTCAGCTGTATAACATGTCTAACCTTCTAAGTCCTGACCAGTATGAAACCCCAGGCTTTGTCTCTTTGTACAACCAACTTATTTTAGTCAGATTGATAAAAACTGAATTTTATGAAAAACAATTGAAAGAACAATAACTCTGTCTCATAACTATCGTACATATTTAAGATGTTTTCAGCACACATTATTTAAATGAATTAGACGCTTTTAAAAATGTGATGACATCCTGAGAAATTATTTCAACCATATGAATCAGGTGTGTTAGAGAAAAGAAATGCTGATAACTTGCAGGAGACTCAACCCCACCCCAGCTAGGACAGCTGGTCTAGAAGAAAATTTGAATTTAACAGATTTTCGTGCCTATTAGGAGCTTCCAAAGCAAGATATAACACCAAAACTGACATAAGAAACAATAGGAAACCTTTGTTGACATTACACGAACCATCGTAGGTTAAACTAGTAGTACGCTGATGTCCCCTGTCTCTGAGGGATTTGAACAGATTCAATGTTTTGTAGTTTTTGAGATATGTTTTTCAGAACTGGGATGAACAGGAAACCCAAGTAAAAATGCTTTTGGTGCAAAGTATTCAATGGTAGAAACAGAGGTAGTTAATTTTTGCAGAGTAACAGATCCTGATGAGTGGAGGGAGGAATTTTATCCATGACCAGTGCAACAGTGGAATCGGGAGGGGGGGGGGGGTGTCAATGGTGGCCATGGTCCCCATAGATTAATCTTCGGCAACCCCAATCATTAGAGAAAATTGTAATTTTAGGCAATATAAAAACTAGAAAGCATAGTTTTCTCAAATGATTTGGGTGGTCAGTTTACCCCCCCCCCCCCCCCCCCCCCCCCACACACACACACACATAGCCATGTGGCAGCCGTCTTGGATTTTAAAGTGGTAACCAATTTTGAAAGGAATTTTTATTATGTCTAGATGCAGCCACAGGAGGAAGAAGTCATTACCTCACTTATTTTTCAAGTTATCACGCTCACAACATGTACAGACGGACGGAAGATATTTCCAATTCCACTCCACCGCAGACAGAACGGGGAAGCAAAAACAGGGACCCAACATGACAGGCTGGTGTCTGGATAAAGCAGTGCTTTCATTTAAGATTGCACAGCACCATCTAGAAGGTTTGATCAAAATGTTCATAACTTCATCCTTTTTCATCGTAAGATGATTTCTTTGGTGGACGATACGCATCCATTCCTGGATTTCCAGGCCTTGAATCTTAATTGTATGTAATAATAGGACTCGGGTCAGGACAAATAAACTCACATTTGCCTGCTACAAGAAATGGGAGCAGCTTACTGCTGCTCAATAGGATTAAAACTGCAACTCTACTTGGATGCAAGATTTTGACAGATCCTGGCCCTACTCACCCTGCACACTGGGCTGACTGCCATTGGTCGCAATCTCTCTCTCCCCCTCTCTCTCCCCCCCCCCCCCCCCTCTCTCACACACACTTTCAAACTTCTTGCTGGATGCTGGACAGGCTGTGCCTTATCACGATCAGAGTGTCTTCCCTTATTAGGCTCTGTCTCCTACCTCCACAAAGCCAAATGGTTCGAGACATTGCATCACTGCTGTCCATGAAGGAACAATTAGCCTGCAGCTAATCCCATTAGCCAGCCTGTGAACACTGCTCACATTTTCCATTCAGTCTCATCAAAAGACCCCACTTCATGCAACTGAATGGCCATCCATCATGTGTAAGTGTATGTGGAGGATTGAGTTGACTCAGAGCCAACATCACTGGAAAGATTAATGTTGCTGGAAAAGTGGAGAGGTGTGTTTACGTCACAGCAGTACTGTGAATCTGAAGATAGAGATAGTTTATAACCTTTTCCACATTCAGTTAGAAACAGTCCACAAACTACAGCAACAATCAGACTTTTCCTCAGGTTTTCTTTAGACCGAGACTTTTTTCTTGTTATCTTACCATCACCACTGGAGACTGGGGTGACGTCACACTTGCTTTCACACTGCTGCATCATGGCAGGCCGGAGGGATTCTGCACACTCGTTTGATGGCTGTCCAGTGTAGGACAGACATGTCACCGTCCTCATCTGCTGTCCCAGTCCACACTGAGCCGAACACTGGAACAGAAAGACATCACAGCACAACTTAATGCTTCTGCAGGAACACATTTACACAATACATTTAACGAGGTAACCGAGGAGCATCTTTCCTCTATGACCCTGAGATATGTGCAGGAACCTCCAGACACACAATCAGCCTTCTGCACACACTGACACCCCCCCCCCCCCCCCCAACACACACTCACACACACACTGCTGCACACCTTTATTCAATCAATCATCAGGACACAGAGCCAATGAGTCACCTTCTTGGCTTCATTTAGGTTGTATTCTGTCTGCCTTTAGGAGCCCAACTGATGTCTAAAGACATTTTTAGTCTCATGATTGTTTGACTTTATGTTTTTTGGGATACTTTCATGAATTTTGTAACTTCTATTTTAAAAAGGACATCATTATTAATTTGACATGCCATTAGCAAACTTGGTGTGTTTCTCTACCTGTTTCTGCAAACAAAATAACTCAATAAAAACCATTGGAGACCTCACTATACTGAACAACTATTGGCCAATCTTTAAACTTTTTATTACTGCTAAGGTTTTAGAAAAAAAATGATAAATACTCAAGTCAAGAAGTATTTGGATTCTTTTAACATCTTACCTCCCCATTAATTTGGTTTCAGGAAACACCATAGCACGACCCCTTTGTTTAAGGTTTTTAACTATGTTGTTGAAGCATTGGATGCTAAGGATTGTTGTGCTGCACTTTTCTTAGACCTGTCTGAAGCTTTCAACACTGTGGATCATAACATCTTGTGTCATAAGCTCTCAGAAATTGGTTTCTCAGATCACATTATCGGTTGATTTTCTAATTATCTCTCAAATCGGAGGCAATGTGTTCAACACAATGGTATTTCCTCCGGCTAGCTAACTGTCAACAATGGTGTACCAAAAGGCTCAGTCTTAGGACCCACCCTCTTTACAATCTACACAAGTAATGTAGGTCAGATCATTCCTGTCACATCCTTACCTTATGTCCTTCTATGCCAATGACACAGTTGTTTATTGTTGAGCTAGAACAGTTGCTAAGGTTTTCCAGCTTAAACAGTCTGCACTCGACATCATTCAGTCTGACCTGTTCCGTCTCAAACTGGTGCTAAATGCTGATAAAACCAAAGGGATGTTGTTTTCAAACAGGAAGTTGGTACCAGTTGTTCTTTCTTCTATCTTATCTACGAATGGTGTTTCTATTGAGTTTGTAGTTTCTTACAAATATTTGGGAATCTTGGTCAATGCACATTTCTTTTTTAAGCCTCATGTCAAAATCTGATAAAGAAATTGAAATTAAAATTGGCTTTCTTTTTCAGAAATAGATCTTGTTTAACTCTGAATGCTAGGAAGTGCCTTGTAACTGCAACTTTCCTTCTGGCCATTGATTATAGTGATATTACTTACATGAATGCTCCTACAAGCACCTTGCGGATGTTGAACGATGTCTATCACGGTGCGTTAAGATTCATAACTGGCTGTAACTACTGTACCCATCACTGCACCCTGTATTCACTGGTCAATTGGTCATAATTACCTTCACACAGACTCTCTCACTGGTTCATTTTCATCTTTAAATCACTCATGGTCTGTTGCCTTCATACATCTCCTCCTACATGTCACATCATGAGTGCAGCTACAGCGTGCGCTCTCAAGACATAATTACCTGCCGCGTTCCCTCGATGCAGACAGAACTAGGCAAAAGGGCCTTCTCTTATTCTGCTCCTATATCCTGGAAAACCTTGCAAAAAGGTCTGAAGCTTTCTTTTTCAGAAACAGATCCTATCTAACCCTGAATGCTAGGAAACGCCTTGTATCTGTGACCTTCCTTCCCTCCATTGATTACGGTGACATTATTTACATGAACGCTTCTACAAGAACCCTGCAGATGTTGGATGCTGTCTATCATGGTGCACTAAGATTCATAACTGGCTGTGATTATCGTACCCACCACTGCACCCTGCATTCACTGGTTAACTGGACATCATTAACTTCACGCAGACTCTCCCACTGGTACATTTTCATCTTTGAATCACTTCTTGGTCTGTTGCCTTCATACATCTCCTCCTACATGTCTCTGCGTGAGTGCAGCTACAGCGTGCGCTCTCAGGACATTACTACCTGCAGTGTTCCCTCAGTGAGGACTGAACTTGGCAAAAGGACCTTCTCCTACTCCGCTCCTGTTTCCTGGAATATCTTATAAAAAGATTTGAAGCTCTCGACCTTGACCTCTCTAAGTGGCTTTAAGAATCTGTTGGACTCCTGGCAGGGACCAATGCAGACATGTTCCTGGTTTTAGTTTTCTACATTCGCCTTAAAATCTTGCTGTTTTTTGTTACTTTTCTTCTTTTTTTTTAGCTATCCTATTTGTAAAAAAAAAATAAAAAATTAGTATGACATTTTATAACTGTTTATTGATGTCGCTGTTGTCCATTGTTGTCATTCTTTGTTGAAATCAGGTCTCTCTTGTAAATGAGTCCTCGAGGCTCAATGGGATTTACCTGTCTAAATATAGGTTGAATGAATGAAAAAGCAGTCTTGCTCTGAGGCAGAGAAACCTCAAACAGCCATGAGGACATTGCAGCTAATGATCACACACAAGCCTGCTGGGACAGTTGGACTCACAATCACAACCTCAAAACATACAAGCATTGTTTTAAAATATTAGTTTAGGATTTAGGATTAGTTTAGGATTAAATATCGAAGTTCAGATTGAAGGTTTGCTTTTATAAATTTAATCTTACCTGTCCCCAGTCACCAGGGATCCACCGAGGAGGAGGACATCGTCCTAAACTGCAGCGGATTCGGACCGGAGGCTTATTGTGGCTCGGGCAGTGGGAGGGCGGGAAGGTTTTGGTCAGGTCACTGCTTTTGCACAAGGTGATCCGGTGCTTGAAACCTGGGCCACATTTAGGTGTGCACTAAAAACAATAGACATAAAAAAAAAGAGTAGGAAAGGATCTGGTCAGAATAAAAAGCTTAGGTTAAGTTAGGTCTGATAGAGTGCCTGAAAGATTTGGAGCAAGACAAGGCTGTTGACCGTATTCTGTATGAGGGCACTAACGATCGGTCATTAGGCTGGTGGTCCTCTTTTAGCATGTGAACAGCTAGTTTTGGTGGTCACCAGCAAACTGGTTGATCCTCTATGAGAAGGGGCTATTTATAAGACAGAGTTAATTGCAGCTCCTCAGACTGAAGAAGTTTTTTGAATAAAAGACGAAATGTTTCAACAAGAAGAATCCGCCCAGAGGACCTGATTATTGAGCATGCATCAGGAAGCTTATGTTCGGATCTTACTTGTCACCAACAAGCAATGTTGTTGCACTAAAAAAGAACATTTTCTAAAATCCTGCCTTTTTGTGTGCATGACTTGTAAAACTGTATTTTTGACCATGCAAATTTTTTGGTTATTCATCTCTCCCCACATCATACCCAACTCAGCCTATTTTGTATCCTCCTTGGCAGCCGCCCCCAAACTAAATACACTTTTAAAAGCGTTCACATTATTCTAAAGTTAGTCTGTATTTTTTGCACTCAACTTCTTCATACTTTGTGCTTTTTAACCATTGATATATCAAAACACATTTAAATTGATGCTATAACCTTTACATTTTATGTTATACACTTTTCAAGATATCAAACATTTTTCCAACATTTAACCCACAGAAATTATTATGATCTGTGTTTTTCTTGTTTATTTGTGCTGCATTAGTATTCTTTGGTAATTATGGAAGGATTTGTTGTTGTGTTTTACCCACTTGTGATCCTTGTGATTGGTTCAGTTTCTGCTCCTGCCCTGCCCACCAGTTTTGTCTTTATATTTGAAAGAGTATCGCTCCTCATCCAAGATGGCCGCTAATTATCAACAGCTGCCGGCCATCAACCTGATAAGGATCATCTCCTACATAAGGCTGCAGTCCAGTGTTACTCTTTGCTGGAGCATTGACAATCTAATGCGTTCCTGCCTCCTCGGTCCTGGTTCCACTGATTCTGACCTGGTTCTCCTTGTGCCTCGTTCTGGTTCTCCTCAAGCCTTGTCCTGGTTCTCCTCGTGCCTTGCCTTGGTTCTCCTCGTGACTTGCCTTGGTTCTCCTCATGCCTTGCCTTGGTTCTCCTCGTGACTTGCCTTGGTTCTCCTCGTGCCTTGCCTTGGTTCTCCTCGTGCCTTGCCTTGGTTCTCCTCGTGCCTTGCCGATCACTAGTTGCCATCCTTCCTCACTCCGCTGGACCCCTAACCCTGTTTCCCTCTGGAGCTCTTCTAATGATTTTGAGTTTGACTTAACAACATCTTCTAATCTGTAAGAGAGAACACATCTTCACATTAATGTGGCCTGTTCACCAGTCAACCTCCTCTGATCCGAGCTTCCCTTGGCTTTCGAGACTGCCCAACTCATGGTCCAGCACGTCTTCAGGATCCATGGCATCCCCTGCGTTGTGGTGTCTGACTGCGGTCCCCAGTTCATCTCACAGGTATGGCGCTGCTTTTGCAAATCTCTAGGGGCCTCCACCAGCCTTACCTCAGGCTACCCCCCCCCCCCCCCCCAGCCCAATGGCCAGGCTGAACATTGCAATCAGGAGCTGGAAACCACCCTCCACTGCATTGCTGAAAAGAACCCCTCAGCCTGGTGCCAACACCTGGTGTGGGTGGAATATGGCATGTCCCCATTCAAAGCCTCCTTAGGTTACATGCCCCCTCTTTTCCTCAGCCTGGAGACGGACTGCATGGTGCCATCAGTCCAGCATCATTTCAGACGCTGTCGACGCATCTAGTGTCAAGCCAAGGCAGTTCTGCTTCACACTGCGGCCCAAAACAAGATGCTCACCTTCCGTCACCGCTCTACAGCGCCCACATACCAGGTGGGACAAAGAGTATGGCCGTCCACCCAGGACATCAACCTGAAGGACACCCCCTGAAAAATGGTACCCCATTTCATCGGTCCCTTCCCCATCTCCAGGATCATTAGTCCCTTCGCAGTAAGACTCCAGCTCCCTAACTCCATGAGAATTCACCCCATGTTTCATGTGTCCCAGATTAAACCAGTCTCTGTGAGCCCCTTGTGTCCCCTCCACCCCCCGACTTCCTTCCACCACCCTGCCTGATCAACAGTCACCCTGAGTTCAGAGTAAGAACCATCCTAGACGTGCAACACAGAGGTAGAGGTTTCCAGCACCTCGTCGATTGGGAGGGGTACGGCCCAGAGGAGAGGTCTTGGATATCCAGATCTTTTATTTTGGACCCCAGTCTCATCACCTCTTTTTCAGGAACCACCCAGAGAAACGCCTCAGGTCGCCTGGGGGCGATTCTTGAGGGGGAGGTATTGTAAGAGTATCACTGCCTACAGCTCCTCATCCAAGATGGCCACTAATTATCAACAGCTGTCGGCCATCAACCTGATGAGGATCATCTCCTACATAAGGCTGCAGTCCAGTGTTACTCTTCGCTGGAGCATTGATCATGTAATGCATTCCTGCCTCCTCAGTCCTGGTTCCCCTGGTTCTGACCTGGTTCTCCTTGTGCCTCATTCTGGTTCTCCTTGAGCCTCATCCTGGTTCTCCTCGTGCCTTGCCGATCACCAGTTGCCATCCTTCCTCACTCCGCTGGACCCCTGGTCCTGTTTCCCTCTGGAGCTCTTCTAAAGAGTTGGACTCAATGACATCTTCTAATCTGTAAGAGAGTACACATCTTCCCATTAACGTGGCCTGTTCACCAGTCGACCTCCTCTGATCATCTCCCTCCTCTTCCAAGAGTACCAGAGAAGCAACTGTTAATTTATTCACTGTAAATAATAAACACTGTTACTTTTGTACCCACCTGTGTCTGCCTCATTCCGGGTCTCATACCACTCTGGGTTCCTCGAGTTATGACAATATTCTCCTTGGTTTGGTTTTGGTTCTGCATTGAGCACTTTATGTGCCAATCCAAATACTTTTCTGATATCATAACCTCAAACTCTCACAACCCACGTGTCCTCTTCTCTACCCTAAACTCTGTTCTCCACCTCATTGAACCAAAACCTCTGGAAGACTCGACTGAGCTGTGCGAGAACATCTTACATTTCTTTTTGGAAAAAAATTGCGACCACCCGGGCTCTCAGTTCCCCTCTAACTCATGACCCATCCATCCCACCTCAATCTGTAGCTCTATTTGACCATTTTGAATCCATCACTCTATCTTCTCTAGAGCAGGTCATGTGCAGCTTGAAACCTTCTGGTTCCCCCTTTGATGTGGTCCCCCCTCAAATACTAAAGGAGGTTTTTCCTACTCTAGGTCCGTCCATTCTTGCTATAGTAAACAGTAGTTTATCCACTGGCATGGTGCCAAAAACCTTTAAACATGCTGCTGTCCAGCCTCTTCTAAACAAAACAAACCTTGACCCCTCAGTCGTTTCCAACTTCCGGCTTGTCTCCAAACTCCCATTTGTTTCTAAAATACTGGAGAAAACAGTTGAGTCTCAGTTGAAGTGCTTCCTGGAGGATCATGCCATCTTAGAGCTATTCGAATCGGGCTTTAAACCTCTCCACAGCACTGAAACTGCCCTGCTGAAGGTTTTTAATGACATCTTCAGATACCAGTGATTCTGTGCTGCTTGTCCTATTGGACCTCACAGCCGCCTTTGACACCATCGACCATGAGATCCTCAGTGCTAGGTTGGAGCAGTGGGTGGGCATCACATGATCAGCCCTCAATTGGTTCAGATCTTATCTCACTGACAGATCCTTTTGTGTCTCCATCAAGGATTTTAGTTCTGCAGCGACAGAGCTTAAATTGGGGGGGGGGGGGGGGGGGTTCGCAGAGGTCCATCCTGGGTCCCCTCCTATTCTCTGTACCTGCTGCCACTTGGTGATATTTTCTGGAAACACAACATGCCCTTTCACTTCTACGCCGACGACTGTCAAATTTACTTTCCCCTAAGACACAATGGTACATGCTCTATTCAACCTCTGCTCGACTGCCTGGCTGACATCAGGGACTGGATGGCTTTAAACTTCTTAAGTTTCAATGAAAAGAAGTCTGAAGTCATGTTGTTCCCTCCCAATGACACGATCACAAACCACTGCATCGACCGTTCCACTCTAACCCTGTCAGAAAAACAAAGAGTCACTAATCTGGGTGTGATAATGGACCCTTCCCTGAAACTTAACAATCATGTAAACATGATTGTTAAATCCTGTTTCTTCCAACTGAGGCGGCTGTCTAAACTGAAGCCCATATTGTCCAAAAATAACCTGGAGACAGTAATACATTCATTCATTACATCTAGGCTTGATTACTGCAATTCGCTCCTGTTTGGTATCAGTCAGACCTCCATTGCACGTCTACAACTGGTCCAGAATGCAGCAACCCGATTTTTAACCAGTACAGGCAAAAGAGAGCACATTACACCAGTTTTTGCCTCACTGCACTGGCTACCGGTTCACCTTTGAATCCAGTTCAAAATACTCCTGTATGTTTACAAATCGCTGAACAGTTTCGTCCCCCCCCCCATCTCTGATCTGCTACAACCGTATGTCACACCACGTTGCCTGAGGTCAGCGGACCAATTGCTCCTCACAGTTCCAGGAACTCGTCTTAAGCGCAGAGGTGACAGGGCCTTCTCTGTAGCAGTACCAAGACGAGTACGAGGGCAGAAAAGGATCAGAACTGGAACGAGTTACCTCTGCTTGTCAGACTGGCCCCCTCCCTCTCGGTTTTCAAATCCCATTTAAAAACTCACTACTATTCAGTAGCTTTCAACACCAGATGATCTGTGTTTTGAACCTGTACGCTCCACACTGGTTTGTCATATTTATTGTCTGCATCGTTTTTATGTCTATATTCTGATTTACCTCATTTTGTATATTGCTTCGTGTGTTGTCTGTTGTTCTGTCTGTACAGCACTTTGGTTGGCCTTGTAGCTGTTTTAAGTGCTCTATAAATAAAATGGTATGGTATGGTAATCTGGCTCTGTGCTTGTGACTAATCCCCATGTTCTGTCTGTTATTTTTGCTACAACATCAGCACTTTATTTTATAAATAAATCAATTTTGCCACTTTGAAGATTTGAGTCCAGGACCAGATGTATGCACCAAACAACTGAAAACCATGACAGGAATACAATGAGATGTCTAAAATTATTTCCAAAATACTTTATCTACTTTTGTCTTTTAATTTTACTTTTAAATTTGAACTAGTCTTTTGTTTATTTTACCTAGCAATTAGCTCTTTTTCGTTTTTATCTATTGTTGACTATTTTTAGATTCTAGATAGACTTTGATACTTTTAGCTAGTGTCTTGCTACATTTATCTTTTACCTATGGTCTGGAAACTGTAGCCTGTAGCTACTTTTAGCTTGAACAACTCAGTTTAAGCATCTTCAACATTTTCACCGTAAATTAAATTTCTCTATCCATACATACATACATACATCTTTTACCAGCTTTTCCCTCTCTTGATCACCAACAGCTGGTCTGTCTTCAGCAATCACTGTGTAAGAGGCGGGGGACACCATGGTCAGGCCTCCAGTCCACCACAGTGACACATATAGACAAAGGAGCCAACTAATCATTCATTCACACCTAGGGACAATTTAGAGTTACCAATCAGCTTATCCTGTATATTTTTGGTCTGTGGAAGGAACCCTAAGTACCTGGAAAAAACAGACATGCACAGGGAGTTCATCTTGTTGTGATGCAGCAGTGCTAACCACTGTACTGCTTTTTCTCTAAATATTTGTAATCTGCATAGTTTTAAATCTGGACATGCTTTCTGTGAGAGGACAGCTCCTGTGCAGAAGTTAAAAATATAGCTCTTTTGCTCTTGATATGGGCTGGAGACATTTGCAGTGATTGAATACTTGAGAGAAAGGAAGCTGAAGACCACTGCAGATATTGGATTCTGGAAACTCACTCATAAATATGCTTTGCAAACTGGTCGTAGAATAATGATTTTTTTTCTTTAAGAATTCATAATGTTGTTTTACCTCAGACCATTCCAGATTGACCCACTTTGGTGGGCAAGACTGGTTGTTGCAGGACTCTCTTTCAATGGGACGGTGAGTCATACAGTAGGTGTCTTTTAGTGTCTCCTCTTCAGCAGGGCCAATTTTTTGGATACACAAGACTGTTCTCGTCCTCATCCCACCGTCACATGTCTTTCCACACTCCAACCAGTCCCCAATTAACCACCTGCCAGAGAAAAGCATCAAGACTAACAACACAGCTGGAGAACTTCACTTAAAAGTTTATGTAAAAGTGAAAATAAAACTCATAGAAATGTTGAATTTAATTAACTTGATAATTGTAAGACAGCCAAAAGAGCAGGACGCTGAACACATCTTGGTAGTAAAGGATGAACAACACAATTTGATTGTTTTATCAACGTCAAATATTTGCTAAAATTAAATGTCTACCATTCCTCAAAAGAAGGCTTATCACCCTTCACATTACTTGCCAAAATTTGAAAGTAAAATTAAGTTTATTACATTTCAGTGAAATTGAGAATTTTTTTTGTTTGAAAAACTCTTTCACCTTCATTTCAGTCACACACCTGTTAACATACAACCTCTCAGTATTCTTCATGATTGTATAGGTACAGGTAGGTAAATGTATGAAGGTATAAAGTATAAAAACTCATCTCACATTGGTCTTGTGTTGAGCTATACTATGTGATATATGCAATATTCTAGTTGTTTTGATCAAACCTTGAATTTAATACTAAACAAGATCTTATACAATATTGTAAGATGACATGCTCAGAGTATGTGTTGTGAATGATTCACCACTACCACGCCAATAGCTGTAAAATTGACTAAATTATAACCATTTTTGTGTTTTGAAAGGTCAGATGGCCGTGGTGGCCATTTAGAATTGAGTTGGCTCCCAAAGTCAATCAGTTGTAGGGTATATCCATTTAATTACTAAAGGTTCCTATAAAATTTGCTCATTGTTTTTACCCTAATTAGAAAATTTCAAAATTTTAAACAAATATTTAGTCTAATCTGTTGCACTCACAGTATATGTTAGGGATCACTCTTGGCTACTACTACACCAAATTTTAGCCCGATATCTGTGAAACTTGACTGTTATAGTAACCTTTATGTTGATTAATACAAGCTTGCTGTTGCAGCCATCTTGAATCTGAATAACTCCAATAGTTAATCAGCTGTGGATGTACATCATTACTTCTACAATACTGTCCAGGTAAGATGATATTTAAATAAACTACACATGCTGACACACTCAGTTGCCTAAGTTTTTGTATGTTAATTCCAGATTGGCCCTGGTTACTAGATTTGGTTGTTGTAGGAAAAGTGTGCTAGTTTAGTCTGATATTTTTCACTTTTAGCCACATTTCAACCCTAACAGAAAATATGTGGCTGTTTAGAATACTGGTAATTGGTTCAGTTTTAATAACCAAACTTTGGTTACACAAACTAATTTATACACAGTTATAATATTTCTTCTGGGTAGTTGGAATTGAGCCTTATTGGGGGCAATCGAGTCACCTACAGTCAAGCCTAAGATCGTGATTCCAGTTATTGGGGCAAAGGACAGTCTGAACCCCTTAATGAAGACTTAAAATTCCCCCAAAACTGGTAAAGACAACAGGTCAGTGGATTTCTATTATATTATAAATTTTCTGGATATTTCCACAATACCTGTAATTGCACAGTTGTACAAATATGCTTGTACCTTTCTGTAAAAAAAAGGGACAAAGATTGCCATAACCAACAAAAGTAATAAAAAAAGAAAATAATTAACACTAAAAGTCAAGTAATGAAAATTAGGGATTACTTTAAAGTTTTGGTTCTACAGTTTTTGTTTTAACAAACAAACTAACGAAACTGACAAAGTTACAAAAAGGATGATACACTTAACTTGATATTTCGTTGCACACATCTTTGAGGCAATTAATGCAATCATATGATTTCTGTAACTCCTAGATTTCTGCACCTGCAGGTGCTCTGTTCCACCTGTGTTCTTATCCAGTCCTCATGATCAAATTGCTGCAGCTGTCTCACAATTGAAGGGTTCATTCTCTAGATGTTTCAGCACAGAAGTTCAACAGCATTTAGATCAGGGTTCAGAAGGACACTTCAGAACAGTCCAATTTTTGGTTTGGATTCTTTCTTGGGTGTTTTTAACAGTGTGTTTTGGATCACTATCCTGTTGGAGAACCCAAGACCTGCAACTTGGACCAAGGTGTCCAACACTGGGCACATTTCGCTCCAGAATGCTTTGATAGTCCTGAAATTTCAGACACCCAGTTTTATAACATTTGAGAACATTCCAGAGTCTCTTCCATGTTTCACTGTGAGCACAGTGCTCTTTTCTTAGTATGTTTTAATTTTTGGATTGTGGACTTGAGTTTGTGACCTGCCAATGAGCTCCAGCTTAGTCTTGTCTGTCTAAAAGACATCCTCCCTGAAACACTGTGGCTTGAGCTCTTTGGTTATTCATATTATTTCAAATTGTCATCACTGCTCCTCTTGTGGCGACATCCAGGGAGGTTGTCTCCAGTCCTGTGGACTTTAAACTTATGAAATATATGTGCAGCTGTAGTCACAGGAATATCAAATTCCTTGGAGATGGTTTCCTTTACCTCTAACATTCTTCTTCTTTCGGTTTTTCCCTATTCAGGAGTCGCCACAGAGAGTCATCCTCCTCCATCTCACTCTGTCCTCTGCATCCTCTGTCCTCACTCCAACTACATCCATGTCCTCACTAAGTGCATCCATATATCTCCTCTTTGGCCTTACTCATTGTCCTTTTCCAGGCAGCTGCGTTTCTAACATCCTTGTACCAATATACACACTGTCCCTCCTCTGGACATATCCAAACCATCTCATTCTGGCCTCTCTAACTTTATCTCCCAGTTGTTCAACCTGTGCTGTACCTCTGATGATCTCATTCCTAACCTTATCCATCCTTGTCAATCCTAAGGAGAACCTCATTTCTACCACTTCCAGTTCTTTCTCCTGTGTTTTGTCAATGCCACTGTCTCCAGACCATACAATGTAGCTGGTCTCACCACTGTCTTGTAAACTTTTCCTTTGACTTTTGCTGACACCTTTTTGTCACTCCTGAAATTTTATCCATCCACTCCATCCTGCCTGGACTCTCTTTCTCACTTCTTTATCACATTCCCCATTTTCCTGGACAGTGGACCCCAAGTACTTGAAATCCTGCACCTTTGTGATCTCTCCTTCTTGTAACCTCACTTTATAACCGGCCTCCCTGTCATTCACACACATATACTCTTTCTTACTATGGCTGACTTTCATTCCTCTTCTTTCAAGTGCATATTTCCACCTCTCCAAGTTCTCTTCCACCTGTTCCTTGTTCTCACCACAGGTTACAATGTAATCTGCAAACATCATAGTCTATGGGGATTCCTGTCTAACCTCATCTGTTAGTCGGTCCGTCACCACATCAAACAAGAAGGGGCTCAGAGCCGATTCTTGATGCACTCCCACCTCCATCTTGAAGCTATCTGTCACTCCTACAACACATCTCACCATTGTCTTGTTGTCCTCATACATGTCCTGTACCAGTCTAACATACTTCTCTGCCACTCCAGATTTCCTCATGCAATACCACACCTTCTCCCTTGGCACCCTGTCATATACTTTTTCTAAATCCAAAAAGGCACAATGAAGTTCTTTCTGACTTTCTCTGTACTTCTCAGTCAGCATTCTCAAAGCAAAAATGGCATCTGTGGTGCTCTTTCTTGGCATGAAACCATACTGATGCTCACAGTCACCTCTAATCTCAGTCTTGCTTCCACAACCCTCTCCCAGATCTTCAATGTGAGCCTCATCAACTTAATTCCCCTGTAGTTGTTATAACTTTGTACATCACCCTTATTCTTAAAAATGGGCACCAGCACACTTCTTTTCCATTTGTCCGGCATTTTCTCACCCTCAAATGTGCCATTGAATATTTTAGAGTCAAAAACCTCACTGCCATCTCTCCAAGACATTTCCAAACCTCCACTGGTGTTCATTATTTTCAGAGCTTTCCGAACTTCACCCTCACTAATCTTTCCCACTTCCTGGTCCACAGTTTCTATGACCTCTACTCTTCTTAATCTTTCATCCTCTTCATTCATTAGCTCATCAAAGTACTCCTTACATCTTCCTGTCACACTGTCCTCACTTGTTATAACATTACCATTCCTATCTTTAACAAGCCTAACCTGCTGCACATCCTTTCCAACCTGATCCCTATGTCTTGCCAATCGGTACAAGTTCTTCTCATCCTCTTTAGTGTCCAGCCTCCCATACAACTCATCATATGGCTTTTGCTTCGCCTCTCCCTCTTTGTTGTACGTCACATCCCCTTATATTCCTGTCTCCTCTCTTCAGTCCTGTCACTGTCATATTTCTTCTTGGCTAACCTCTTTCTTTGAACGACATCCTGCACTTCACTATTCCACCACCAGGTTTCCTTTCATACATTCTCTCTCTAGATGACACACCAAGTACCTTCCTACCTGTCTCTCTAATTACTGTTGCTGTAGTAGTCCAGTCATTTGGAAGCTGTTTCTTACCACCCACAGCTTTTAACAGCTCTTTTTCTGAATTGCTCACAACATTCTTCCTTTCTCAGCTTCCACCATTTGCTTTTCTTATCTGAGTTTACTCTTTTTCTCTTCTTCACAACTGCAGTCATTGTACACACAACCATCCAATGTTGTCTGGCCACACTCTCCCCTGCCACAGCCTTACAGTCCCCAATGTTCCTCAGGTTTCCTCTTCTACACAGGATGTAGTCGACCTGCATACTCTTTCCTTCACTCTTAAAGGTCACTATGTTCCTCACTCTTTTGGAAATAGGTGTTGACTACAGGCATTTCCATTTTGTAGTCAACACCTATTTCCAAAAGAGGGAGGAACATAGTGACCCTTAACATGCTGCTTAATATTTTTGTGGATAATCCGTCTTTTTCGGTTACTAACCACAGTTATTGCAGTTCCTGAGTAGCTAAGAGTAGACCCACACCAGCTTGGCGTGTCTCACCACGGGCAACTCCAGAGTGGAATAAAGTCCAGCCCCTCTCAAAAAGATTGTTTCTGGAGCCCATGCTGTGCATCGAGATGAGCCCAACTACAGTATATCTAGTCGGTACCTCTTAACCTCACGCACAAGCGCAGGGTCCTTTCCCACCAGAGAGGTGACGTTCC